AGACCGCCCCAAGACTAATAGCAGTCTCTTTAAAATAAGAATTCATTGCCTCAAAGTTCAATTTCATTTAGTTTCTGCATCCTCAATAAAGCTGAGAAGCCTTAAAGTCAGTTAGTAGCAACAGATGGGTCATCTTCCTTCCTTTGTAAACGTTATGTTAACTTTTACGACTACAGCAGAACACCCAAGACATGGAAAATAATGAAGAAAGGGGCTTTATGACAGTGGTTCTCAATCTTCCTAATGCTGTGGCCCTTTAATATACTTCCTCGTGTTGTGGTGATCCCCAACCATAAAATTATTGTCATTGCTACTTCATAATTGCAATTCCACTACTGTTAACGAATTGTAATGTAAATATCTGCTACACAGATGATCTTAGCGATGCCTGTGAAAGGGTTGTTTGACCCCAACAGGGTTGCGAGCCACAGGTTGAGAACCACTCATTTATGAGATTGGATGGTGTGGGGCCTGCAGTGGTTCAGTCCTGTTAAGAAGCCTCTGAGCTGCAGCACCCCATGGCGATGGTGAGAGCATGTTCATGAGCAAGTGCTCATAGCGTGAGACTAACAGAAATTGGGGCGACCTCATTCCCATGTTCCTCTCAAGAGCATTCTCACTAGTCTCTGCTTCCTGGGGATCCACACCTCAACTGCACCACATTACGCATATCAACCCCAAGTCATACATGTGTCTACCTTTGTTGCCAAGCAAAGTTTACCATATGTGATGGCTGCTACTATTCCCTCTTGGCATGACCAAGAGGAAGGAATCTAGAAACATTAACCAGCAACCTGCTTGCTTTTCACTGCAGAGGGTGGAGAAAGGAAGAGAAAGAAAGGGGGCAATACACGGCTCTAGCAGCCCTTCCGTTTTTTAAGTGATATCCTGTTCTGGCTTGCTTCCTGTTGCTAAGATAATACAGTGTGGCCAAAAGCAACTTGGGGGAAGAAAACGCTTATTTTGGCTTACACTTCTAGATCACAATCCTTCCCTGGGGAAAGTCAAGGCAGGAGCCATGGAGGAATGTTCTTACTGTTTTACCCTCTAGCTCACTGGTTTATTCTCAGCTACCTTTCTTATATAGCTCATATACACTGGCGTAGGGACAGTACCACCCATCGTGGGATGGTCCCTCAGCCACCAATTAGTAATCAAGAAATCACCTCATCTCTAGAAGCCAATGTGATGTAGGCGGTTCCTCAATGGAGAGTGAGTCCCTTTCCCCAGGAGGTTCTAGTTTGCTTCACGGTGATAATAAAATCTAACCAGTACAAGTCCCACGTCCAAATCTGGGCTGAGAATAAACTTACTGTTTGATCACACTACTGGTTATCACACTATCAAGTTGGTGATTACCTGACACTTGCCAAGATCAATATATACCATAGTAAATGTTTTTCATTCAGGTTGAATATTGTCTGAGCAGATAAGGACACCAAGATACTGTATGTTAAGTGCTTAAGGTTACAGCATAAATCAGTGGAGGATTATATATAAACTCCAGTAGTTTACTTTTTAAACAGTATTCTTTCAACAGAAGAATAAATGGATAACTTCAAGTTCTCAGTATCCCGCCCTGAGTAAGCAATAACAGAAGAGATGAGTAGGATATTTTATTCAATCTAATGTATCTAAAATATTTCAGTCTCTGATTAATATAGAAATGAATGTGATTCATGTGAAGCTACATCTATTCTTGCTGTATGATGTAACAGGTTCATTAGTATTTACCCAGTGGAGTTAAAAAGTTATGACTACACAAGAATCTGCACCATGGATATTTATAGGAACTTTGGGACCCACAGGCCCCTCCCTTGCTGCATCCAACCTGCTCACCTAGCCAGATCCTTACACATCTTTCTCCAGAGTCTAGCTGCATGAGTCTGCCTGGTCCCCCCTCCACAAGCCCTTCCCAACACCCACATCTACCCCGATACTCCAGGCTTGGACCAGGAAGTACGTCCCAGTCCTCCGTGTCCCCTAGACTTCATGCCACCTAAGCCATTTTCAGCCTTTAGGTCCAGCCTGACCTGTGCATCCTCTATTCAGCCCCAACCTGATCTGTCCACATCAGACACCAAACTAACCAAAGAAGTCCACATGCCCAGATCTCATCACAAAACTATAGTAGCTTTATTACACAATTTGAAAGGAACTGAAATGTCCTTCAGTAGGCAATAGACAAAAAAAATTGGTGCATCTAGACAATGGTTGACCGGCACCCCGAGGAGAGTGCTGTGTCTTCTAAGACCTCTCTGAAGCCTCCAGCCACACTTTTGCACTCAAGCTAGCCTGGGTATGTTTCTATAGGCCGGGTGGTGGTGGTGGCACTCAGGAGGCAGAGGCAAGTGGATCTCTGAGTTTAAGGCCAGCCTGGTCTACAGAGTGAGTTCCAGGACAGGTTCCAAAGCTACAGAGAAACCCTGTCTTGAAAAACCAAGACCAAAACCAACCCAGAAATAAGAGACTGGAGAGATGTCTCTGCCATTAAACACCCTGGCTGGTTTTCTGTAGGACCAGGGTTCAATTCTCAGCACCCACATGGTGGCTCCCAATCATTTACGGCTCCAGTTCCAGCAAATACAATACCCTCTGCTGGTCTCTGTGTGTATCAGGCATGTGGAGGGGTATGTGGTACACATGCAACATACATGCATACAATACACCACTCATACACATAATAAAATTAAAATAAATAAATGAACAAAACCGGTAATGCTATCTCAGACATGGGGGTCTACACATCCCAATTCTGCTATGAAAAGCTCAGTATTGTATGAATTATGGGAAGTCCTTCTTTTCTTGATTCTGGGCCATTATGGCAATTACACAAACACACACACACGTGTGTATACAAACACATGCATCCATGCACACACACACAGAGGTGCATATGTGTATACAGATATATTTAAACATCCATATCTGTGCATGTCAGAGGCCAGAAGTTAAACCTTGGGTATCATCCTTCCTCAGGTACTGTCCACGTCATCTTTTTTTTGGAGACAGAATCTCTCACTGTCCTGGAGCTAACTATTTAGACTAGGGTAGTTGGCAAGTGAGCCCCAAAAATCTGCCTTTCTAGCAGTGAGATTTCAAACATGTGTCCACACGAACAGCTTCTTTACAAGGGTTCTGGGAGTATCAATCAGGTCCCCATTCTTGGACTGTAAGCAGTATGCTACAGAGCACACCCTCATGAAGGTTTTTTTTCTTGGGAGCACATGGGACGCAGAGCAAAAGGGGGCACCACCGTCACAGTCACATGTGACTTGTTTCTGTTTTGGGGTCTCCTGCAGCTGCAATTCTTTTCAGAGACCAACAAACCGAACCTTGATGCTTTCTCCCAGTCCCTGAATGGACTGCATTTCTCTGGGCAGAGGGTGGGTAGCCAACAAGATGAATGATCAACTTGTCCTGAATTTCTACATGGCAAGCATAAAAATAAAATTACAACATTCGCATATCTGAAATTATCAAAGACCACAGAATAGAGCAATACTGAAGGATCGTTTGTGTACCAGGCCACAGCTTCCCGACTTCCTAAAGATAATCCTTTGGACGTGTTACTTAAGCACTTTTTGCTTTAGTTCTAGTAAATAAAGTAAATAAGCAAATCTAGTAAATAAGTAAAAGTGGCATAATGGTATTTCTCTCACAAGCCCAATTGCGTGGCACATGGTGACTGCTCGGTAGCTGTCTATTCGATGTGTCTGTTTCCCAGTGATTTATAAAGCAGCCTTCTACACCTACCACTAATGGAATAAAATGCTATAGATTATCTTCCAGATAAATACATGAAGGGAGAACGAAGCATGTTCAAATATAATGACTTCCATTTTTGAAAAAAAAAAAAAAAGTATTTCAAGTGGAATAATTTCCAGTGATCATACAACATTGCATGAGTCCAGGAAGACTTGAGCCACAGGAAAGAAGTTGGGGAATGAGGAATCACTTAAAGTGAAGCCTGCCCTACCTGGCATCTGCTCTTTATTTCTTCTTGAAGACAAAAGATTTATACTATCGTTCATCACCTTCTTCTTAGACCTTTCTGAATGACCTTTCTGGCCGTGTCACACTCAGTCAGGTCTTGCCAAGAGCCTGCTCCCAATGTGCTCAATGCACAAGGCAGCTCTGCATCTGGGAATACAGAAGTAAAGACAACTTCTGACAAGAAGAGGGAGGCTCCAGATAGCTTTCTTCTTACTAAGTTATCCTGACTCTGATGTGCACATGACACTCAAAGCCTTTTTAGCTCATATTGGCCACATTTCAAGTTCTCCATAGCACATGGCTGGTAGCTACTGTTACAATAAACAGTATAACTCTACAATGCTCTTTAAATACTTAATCTTCCTCCTGTTATTTGTTCTAGCTTATATATGCCTCCATTATGATTATTTTATATTTCCTTTATTTCTCCAAATTATATAATGCAACAATGGGATTGAAATAAGTCATTGGGATCTAGAGAGACGGCCCAGCAGTTAAGACTGAATAGTGTTCTTGTAGAGGGTCCAAGTTTGATTCCCAGCACCCACGTCTGGTGGCTCATGACTGCCTGTAACTTCACCTCCAGGAGAATCAGACCCCTCTAGCCTCCAGGGGTACCTACACACACACACTTAAAGCTAATAAAACTAAATCTTCAAAGAAATAATTCAGATCATGACCCTGGAAAAGATTTAAATTATACTACACAAAAAGAGAGGTTCAAGTACTCCAAACTCTCAGAAAACTGACATCAAAATCCTACTTAAAATGTGAAGGAATGAGTATATTTTGTCATCAGGATGTTTTCTGTCTTTAAAAATAAAACCCTTAACGAGGAGTTTAGCTGCGGTTTAAAGTTCATTGTCAGCCAGCCTGGATTTGGAATCTCCTAGAGGACACACCCCTGAGTCTGAATGAACCTTTCCTGGTAGATTAACTGAGGAGGGAGGACCGGTCCTGACCAGGAGGATCTTTCCATCCCCCTAGCTGAGGGGAGTGCGGTGTGAGGCAGCTGGTCACATTGCAGATGCAGACAGGGAGCGATGAACGCTGCTACTCACTTCACCTCTTCCGTTTTCCATTTGTATTCAGTCTGGGACTCCAGCCCACAGATTGGCGCCACTCACGTTAAGGCTTGGTTTTTCCTCCTCAGGTAAATGTCCCTTCCTGGCTGCAGATGGGTGTGAGTCGCTGCCTCACACTCGGGCCCCGAATGTCTTCCCTGCTATTTCCTCTCATATGAGATGAAATAAATCTTTGCTTCCTTCAGCGCTTCTTTGTCGCATATTTTGTCACAGCAACAGAAAAGGAACTAACACAGTTAGTTACTGTTATGGTTACAGTTAGTGTCTGTGTGTTCAAATCGAAACTGTTCACTCAACACTCCTCAGGCTAAGTGGCACAAATTGTGCTAGGTGCCAGAAGCTAGACAAAGGCCTCTTCTCTTAAAGAGGAAGTGAGATCTCCAAATTGATAATAGTTTGACTTATAATTTTCCAGTTTTAAGAGAACAACTTAAATAAGCCATTATTGTGGTGGGCATACGATGTGAGTTGAGAGGGTGGTTGAACGTGGAGGAGCCATCCCAGGAAGCAGGTATCCCCTCTCACCTTTACCTGCCTTCTAGGGATCAAACTCAGGTTGCCAGGCTTACACAGCAAAGTGCTTTTATCCACTGAGACAGCTCATGGTCTTTGAACTTTGCTAACTTTTTGAATTTTTATTTTTTCCCCCAGGTCTATTTGAAGGCAGTCTTGTGATGCAGGTCAGGAGAGCCAGCCAAAGCTGCTGGCCAGCCATGCGTTCAGGAGAGGAAACATATCCTCTGCAGCTGACTGGTGGCTCAGCTATGATGCCCAGTGTGTAGTAAATGCATTTTTTTTTCTTACAGGGCATTCACTGATAAGGAAAGCCATTGTGAGCCAAGACCCATCTGTGCATCCCTGAGAGGGAATCAAGAAGTTTGTCACTGCTTTCCCCTGCTGCCTTCTGGAGTGATGCCCCAATCTCACCTGCCAGCACCATGTGCCACCCCAAGAAGACACCAAGCGATCACATGCGTCCTTTTTCCTTACTTTCAAGGTATATTTTGTTTTTTTAATAAGTGTAAGATTGTGATGTCTAAAAGAAAACTCACATCCCTAAGGATCTATGTAACATGTTAGGTAGAAGAAATTTTTAGATGTAAGTTTCCCTTGATTGCCTCTTTTAAGTCATGCAGGATAAAAAATTGCCTTAAGACAAATTTTAAAATAAAAATCTGTGTGTGTGTGTGTGTGTACACACACACACATATATTTCTTTAAAAACATTTGTTTTATTTTTATATATGTGTATATGTCTGTGTAAGTGTATGCAATGTGTGTGCAAGTGTCCTTAGAGGCCAGCTGGAGTCACGGGCAGTTGCGAACTGTCTGCATAGGTGCTGGGAACCAATTTCGGGTCCTCTGCAAGAACAGCACACACTCTGAACCATTGAGTTGTCCCTTCAGCCCCAATGTCCCTTAATGCAAATACAGTCCCCAGTATGCAGACGTGAACTTTTAACTTTAAATCCTGCCCGTGCTACAACCGCTTGTATAAAATTCAGAATTCAGCTGCTTTTCCTGTTACTGTGGCCTTGTGAAAGGCCAACAATTGAAGCCTCATCCTTATGTGATCTATAGACCAAAGAAAATTAAATTTACTTTTAGGTTCATCTCTAAACATGCTCTTAAAACTTTTAGCTCTATTGATCTCCCATGTGAGCAGCTGTGTAACCAAATAGCCACCCCAGGGAAGATGAACATGAGAAATCGCAAAACCCTCCGAGAGGGAAAAATGATTTCCATTTTCTGAATCAATACAATAGAAGAGTCTTGTTAAGCAGCAGCATCAAAATACTACATTTTGTGCAGAGATGAGATAAAATGGAATCAATCTACTGATAAAAAGCCTCACTTATAAAGCGTGTGTTTGTGAAACTCTCCCCTGAGGTCTATAACTACAATTCACTCTGTTGTGTTTCCATCAGGGCCCTTGCCTGATCACTTAGGAGATGCAGTGAAGCAAGGAGAAAATATTGACATTTATTTAGGAAGGCAAAAAAGTCTTGCTTTTATATTATTTTAGTGAACACATTAAGCTGTTTTGTTGTTTTCAACAGCAATAAAAAAAAGTGTTGTAATAGTCAGTGGAATGAAATGGTAACAATTTTCTCTGGACATTTTACACTGAAGTAATTGATCATTTACAAAGCAGTGTCTTAAGAATTTCTATTGCATCTACATTTCATTTCAAGCATGGAGTGCTCACTCCATGACAATGAAACTAAGACAGAATGTCAGAATTACATTAGAAGGAAAGAAACATGCTCTGATCTTCAGAAATGGACACACCAAAGGCTGGATCAGCTTGGGATTTTGTTGTTGTTATTGTTCTTTTGTTTTTTTTGGGGGGGGGGTTAGTGGTGCACACCTTTAATATTAATACTTAGGAGGCAGAGTCAGGTGGATCTTTGAGTTCAAGGCCAGCCTGGTCTATAAAGTGAGTTCTAGAAGAGCCCTGTCTCAAATCCTCCCACCCCCCAAAAAGCCATGTAGCCCCACCAGAGACAGACGCCCGATGGAACTTTACCAGGTAAGCCACAGCCTCGTGGCTATACACAGATTAATGGAGATGGGTTAGTTTAGGATATAAGAGTTAGCCAGAAATACACTTAAGCTACTGGGCAAACAGTATTGCAAATAATATAGTTTCTGAGTAATTATTTCATGGTCTGGGCAACCGGGAATGAACAAGCAGACTTCTATTACAATTGTGGAAAGGAGTTGTGTCCTCAATGTTGTATTCTCAGAACGTTGAAGACAGAGCTGCCATGGGACTCAATAATTCCACTCCTAAGGCTGTACCCATGAGGACTGGAAGCATCTTCAAGCAAAACTACACTTGATAGTTCAAAAAGTGTTATTTGTTTTTTTGGAACAGGATTTCTCTGTAGCCTTGGAGCCTGTCCTGGATCTAGCTCTTTTAGATCAAGGTGGCCTTGAACTTGCAGAGATCGGCCTGCCTCTGCCTCCCGAGTGCTGGGATTAAAGGCATGCATCACCACTGCCCAGCTCAAAAAAGTGTTATTTCAATAGGCAATAAGTTGAAACAAGCCCAATGCCCATGCATGGAGGACCATGGAGGAAAAATACACGGTAGATATGTACAATGCAATGTTACGCGGCCATGAGTGGAAGGGAGAATTAGACTTACTGCACACAACGCCTTAACTTGGAAAAGAAAAGCCGCACAGTGAGAATTCTTCAGCACAACTGCACCTTTCATCGCCTGCTGGATGTGGTCCAGGGACCTAAGCTGCCAAGTTCAGACACCTTCTTGACTCACACCAAAGATTAATGATGTGGACTCTCGTGGGAGTTGTGCAAAGCAGAACCAGGCTTTCTTAATGATTTCAGAACGTGAGAAATTGAGAGAAAGAGAGAGGGAAAATTCTCGAAGGAGGAAGGGGTCCCCAGGGGAGGAAGAAACTCTTGCATTCTCTTTGTCTAAGAGCTTTACAACTCAACGGCAGAAGGAGCGCAAAGGCGGACATAGCCATTACAGAGATTGGCTAATTCTTTGGTCTTTGGTGGTTGGAGCCAACGAAGAGCCCACATACTTTGTGCCTGTCCCCCTGGCCCAATCAGAGTTGGCCCATACACTGTTCATCTGCTGCCCCAAGTTAGAAGGGGTGGAAGCCCCCCCCCCCAAGCTCTGACTCTGGCTATGGTAGTCTTGACCAGGACTATTAGCTGCCATTATTTAATGTATATATCGAATGCTGTCAGTTATACTAAGTTCTGGGTGTTTTCACATTTACACGATCAACTGTAGTTTTACCATAGCAGAGGTAGCTGTCACAGCCTCCAAGAAATAGCTGTTGACATGCTGGTTCCCTTATCTTTAGTTTCTTGCCTATAGAGTGGGCTGGGCTGGGCTCCTAAGCGGAAGCTTGGTTTTAGGAGTTTTCCTTCCTTCCCATTAACTCTGTTACAATTAGAAGGAAGGGTGTGGGAAAGGCCAGTAGTGCCTTGATATGCTTTTCCAGGTCCTAGAGTCTAGGATTTCCAGTAGTGGGAGCATCAACCTGTTATCATAGACCCTGAGCAATATCCCTCCTCCTTCCTGCCTGGAGTGGCCGCCTCATGCCAGCTACAGCCTCTTATGCCTACCTTAGTGCTTCTGACTCTGCCATTTTAAACCTCAATCTTCCTCTCAACCTCAGCCGTGTTTAACCTGTGAGGTAAGTGAGCAAGAAAGCAGCTCTCACTGTGGGTTCTTCCCCTTAGTGCCCGCGGTGCGTGGGTTCGGGCCTCACCATAGTGTGTGAGTCAGTTTACACGTCATGTTTAAGGTATGTGAGGCAGGAACGCGAAGCAACTATTTACAGTGTGGAGAGATTCTTTGTTTTTTTTTGTTTTTTTTTTTTGTTTTGTTTTTTTTTTTTCTTTCCCAGGGGCCAATGTTAAAAGAATTTCAAGTCTGCTTAAGAATTTGGCCAAACTGAGGTTTCCTAAAAGGTAATGCAGGAAGTTCAACCAGCACCCCTGAAGACCTAAAGAATATAGAGTGCTTACAGTTCAAAAAATACAAACACTTGTACGTATTGATATGCAAAATAGGACAAGCACCTTTCTTTCCACAATTGTGGGTAGAGCTGCAGCTAAACCCCATCCACTGGAGACAGAATTCGAGTGGAGGAAAAGGGGAACAGATGGTAGGACAGACAAGAAATGGGTGAAAGCCAGGACACATGGCTTCCTGCTTTTAGCTTCGTGTTAAATTCCTTTGTCAACATGACACATGCACCTTCCTCAGTTAATCTACCATGTAGGATGAAGAAGGCAACTCCATTTTCTGAAAGTGGTGATTTAGTAGTGCCGGTGGTGATGGTTTTGTTGCTGGTGGTGCCGGTGGAGGGGGCTGATGGTGCTGATGGTGCTGATGGTGCTGATGGTGCTGATGGTGCTGATGGTGCTGATGGTGCTGATGGTGCTCGTGGAGGGGGCTGATGGTGCTGATGGTGCTGATGGTGCTGATGGTGCTGATGGTGCTGATGGTGCTCGTGGAGGGGGCTGATGGCGGTGATGGTGTTGGCGGTGCTGGCGCTGGTTGTGGTGCTTGAACTAACAGTGCTAGTAGTGATGGAGAATTCTCAGGAAAACCATCTCCGGGTGTTGAGCTGGGGAGGCTGTTCCTTCCCCAAGGCCTGGACAGGGCCTCTTCTAGGATCCTTACTTGGTCTCCAGTGTCATGCTGCTGATCCTCAAACTCCAGAACTTTCCCCAAGAACAAATTGGCTCTCAGTGATCTACATGTACCTCCTGAGGGAATAGCCTTGGCAGGAGTCAACTCCCAGGCTCTTCTAGAAGTCAGCATTGTTCATGAAAAAAGTCAGAACCAGTTTGTCTCTCAATTACATAGACCTCATCAAGGAGTCCTGGCAGGGGTCAGTTGTCTGAGAACTACCTGTGAACACCAAACCCCTTGAGGTCCCAGTTTACTTATGTCTTATCACTCATGGGCATGCCTTTCAATGCTCTCCAATGCTTGAGAAATATAGAAGAACCCTGGGGAGAGGGACCCCGAGAGACCAGAACTGAGGGAGCACAAAACCAGGCTGTCTTTTCTTGAATTAGGAAGCCTGATGCCTTTATCTTTTTTTTTTTTTTTTGAAGGCACTTAGAGAAAGAATTGGCAGGGCTGCCCAGCGCCCTGAACAGAATGTCAGTAACCCGGGTTCTCCAAGAATAAGTTGCTTTTGAATTGGCAAAAATGGTCTGAAATCAGAATCACAGTGGCTGTACGACAGGGTGGACATACATCAAGGCACCAGCTTAAATACTTTTCAAAAGAAAATGATGAATTTGTGTTTCATGAATTTGACCTCAGTAAAAGCCTCCATTCTATTAGTCTCCCGGGAAATTGTCCCTATCTGCTAAGCAAGTGAGATCCTGTTTGCAGATCTGTTAGCCAAGAGCAGCAGCCTAATCTCCAGCTCCCTGGAAGCTTTAACCTCTTCCGTCCATCCATTCTTTCTTTCCCTTTCCTTCCTGTTCCTGTACGTGCAGAGTTGCGCTTTCCTGAAGGCAGGCTCTTACCCGAGCCCCCTTTACGGCCACTGTACGGTTGCCCTGTTTGTCCTTTTAGGGCTATTTCAGCTGCAGCTTCTTGTACTCGTATTTCCCCTGCATTTTCCAACGAACCAAGCTCTCCTTTTCTCTCACTCTTAGCCCCATTGGTCCTGAACACCCAGCTTTCTCCTAAAGGTCTGTCTGGTAAACCACAGGAAAACAAGGGACTCCTGAGGAGGGAAAGGTCCGTCTTCTCCAGGAACAAGCTTTCTAATAAATTTATCCAATGCCAAGTGCTCAGTTCTTAACACATATTCATATAAGCAGTGCTAAACGGACTCAGCGGGTTACATGTACGTTTATGTGTGTACACGCAACAGTAATAATTTAAGAAGAGGACATTCATTTGAGAGGGAGTGAAGGGGGTATGGGAGGAGTTGGAGGGGCAAGAAGGGATGGTGAAGATGCTATAAATAAGTATGCGTGTATGAAATTCACAAAAAAATTAAATTAAAAAAATTATGTCATTTAACCCCATGGTATAGAGTGGGATATTTTCAGATTACTGTTAATAGTCACCTATTTTTGTATTTAAGATCATTTGATCTCAGGCTGTCTTTCTAAAAGAAGATTGACATTGGGGGTGGGGAGATGGCTCAGTGGTTACAAGTGCTTGCTGAGCAAGCACAAGGACCTGATTTCAGATCCCCAACACCCAAGTAAAAGCTGTGTGTGGACTCTGATAGCTGGAACAGCAATGGGAACCAGAGCTAACTGATTAAGCCTAACTGAAAAATGACTAGTCCCTGGTTCAGTGAGAAAGCCTGTCTCAAGAGAATAAAGGAGGGGATAGCAGATCAAGGGTTCCTAGCATCTTCCAAGGACATGAAAGGGAGCGTACTTGTGTGCACACGCAAACACATACACACGCACACACACACATACCATTCTGAAATCTTCTGATTATGTCTGAATGAGCTTTGTAAAAACAATATGTTTTTCTTTCTTTTCTTCTAGGAAGGCAGCAAATTCAACGTTCAGTCTTGTAAGTCTTGTGTTTGGGAGATACCTCAGGATGACGGAACTCCCCATGTGTCCAAAGCACTTAGTGGTATCTAGAGTTCAAGAAACCTGGCTATAGTCCATTCGCTCAGGCTGCACACATCAGGCGGAGTGCCCTCTGCTCCGGATACCTCAAGGCAAGCCCTTAATTGTGAGCTCCAGGGAAGCCCAGCTCTTTCCTTCAAAGCCTCCTCTTGGTCTGTAATTACATCCCTGTCTTTCTCCAGAGGTAGCCATTATCCCTACCTTGGGGTCAAGTCAGCCCTTGTTTTCTCAGGCTCCCACCGCATAGGTCATAGTTCCAAACTGTATGTAGTTTGGTTTTTGTCTTAAAAAAGAAAAAGACTACAGTTACATCATGTCAGGTGTGGCTTTCTGCGGCTTTCCTTCACTTTCTGGTCCTCTTTGGAACTGTTACAGGCCATGGCATAATGAGCTTCTTACAAGTATCTAGGGCTGAACATGAGCAAAAACAAGTTTTTTTTTTTCTTTTTTTTTTCTTTTGGAATGAAATTGCTGTGTGCTCCCTTGACCTCCTGAGCGGGGTAGTCGTTTCCTACTGCTGTTTGATAATAGCACAGACCGGGTGCTTGACAAACAACACAGGCCTATCTGCCTCACAGCTCTGGAGGCTAGAAAATCTAATGTGAGGGTCTTTGGGCTGGGACACATCACAAGGAAGACATTTAGCACTCCCAAGGCTGAGAAAGGATGGGGCCCAAACATGTCTACTTACCGTGACTACACAGGGAGCGAGAGAGTGTGTGGGGGGGGGGCATGAGGAAAAAAA